CCAAAATAAGGATATAATGAAATCCTTGAGCCTACGTTTTCTTTTTATTCCATACAGTCATCCACATATAGAGAAATTACTTTGTATAAACTAAATACCTTTTATCCTGTACCTTGAGGGAACATCAGTGATGATCTTGGAAAATGCATGAGGTTACCCTTCTCTTTGCCCACACCAACCCCGTCTAACTTACATGCCAGATCTCTTGAGGCCTTTCCTGAACGCAATTGTTATTCCCCAATCACTTCACATATATTTTGCTAGTGTGTATTTACTAATTTATGAATATATGCTATCCCCTAGCAGAATGAAAGTCCTTTGAGGGTTGGAAGACCTCACTTTTGTATTTGTCTTCCCAGCACTTTATAAGTGCTATTGATTGAATGATTTAGTCCAATATGGTCTTTTTTTTTTTTTGGTCCTGGTCTAGGACCATGATTTTATTAGTATAAGAAACTCCCCATGAAGAAATTCCCTCTATCAATGCAAAATTGGCAATGGTTTTCCAACTGTCATTCTTACAGAATGACTTGGGAAACTGAGAGTACTTACTCAGGTTTACAAAACCAGCATGTGTCAGAGGTGTGACTTTAACCCACTTCTTACTGACACAATATAACCTACTTTATTCACTATGCCATATTGCATCACAGTCCATTTTACAAATGAGGGAACCCACTTGCTCAAGGACACATTAAGATTAGCAGTTTTACTGGCAAGTACTCATTTCAAATTATTTAGTTTTCATGTTGCTATAATCCTTAAATAAATTGATTTCACATGGGAAGCTTATTTCTGTCCATGAAGAGAAAAGAGCAGTTACTGAGAAACCTGCTGGTATTTGTGGGGCCATATGGAAAACTGGGGTTTCCTACTAATGTAAGAGAGAATTTTAGTCCCAGGCTGGCTCTTCCCGCCCCTATTTCTTTTTTTTTTTTTCCCAGGCAGTTGGGGTTAAGTGACTTGCCCAGGGTTACACAGGTAGTAAGTGTCAAGTGTTTGGTCTGAGGCCGGATTTGAACTCAGGTCCTCCTGACTTCAGGGCTGGTGCTCTATCCACTGTGCCACCTAGCTGCCCCTCCTGCCCCTATTTCTTTCAACCTTGAGTCCAGTTTGATATTAGAATCAGTTAAGTCAGATCATACCAAGAGCTTTAAAAGATGAAACTGAAAGAACAATAAACAGATAAGAGGAGTGGGGAATGGCAAATCTGTCTAAATCTGTCTGTATGTGTGTGTGTATGCATTTGTGTGTGTACGCACATGCATGTTATCTACCTAATCTAGCTATCAATTATATAACTTCTTTAAGTGTATAACTTTTTTTCTCAATCAGTGGTCCACGTATAGCCAGACCAGATTTATGATTTAATTTTAAATAGTATTTCATTTTTTTCAATCACATGTAAAGATTTTTATTTTTTTTTAATTTTTGAGTTCCAGATTTTCTCTCTCCCGCCTTCCCCTACCCCTTCCCTAAAAATGTAAGAATTTAAATAGGTTATATATGTACAATCATGTAAAACATTTCCACATTAGTCATATTGTGAAAGAAGAAACAGACAAAAGGGGGAAAAAACCACAAGAATGTTAAAGAAAGTAAAAATAGTATGCTTCAGTCTGTATTCAGACCTATCAGCTCTTTCTCTAGATGTCGATAGCATTTTCCACCGTGAGTCCTTTGGAATTGTCTTGAATCACTGTATTACTGGAAGAGTCAAATTATTCACAGCTGATCATCACATAATGTTGCTGTCGGTGTGTACTAGGGTTTCCTGGTTTTGCTCACTTTACTTTGTATCAGTTCATGTAAATCATTCCAGGTTTTTCTGAAATACACCTGCTCATCATTTCTTATAGCACAATAGTATTCCATCACATTCATATACTACAACTTGTTCAGCCATTCCCTCAACTGATGGTCATCCCTTCAATTTCCAATTCTTAGCTACCCCCAAAAATATTTACAAATATTTTTATAAATAGGTTGTTTTCCTTCTAAAAAATTCTTTGGGATATAGATCTAGCAGTGGTATTGCTGGATCAAAGGGTATGCAGTTTTCAAGCCTTTTGCACATAAGAACTTTATAACTGCGTAACATTGTAAAACTAATTTTTCTACCAATGAAGATAGTCACCACATTTTAACAAACATCATACCCCTCAATGTGCTACAAAAAAAGTGGAAATAATACTTGTTTAAAAAGACAGGAAAGGCATCTACATCATAGAGCAGGTATTTGTATACAGAGAAAACATCTGTGCTAGATGTGAGAAAATTTGGACTGTGACTATATCAGTTTTCAAGATATCTAAAAAAGTTAAACATATAAAGTGGCTGAGGAAAAAACCATGATATATTACTAACAACAAAAATAGCAATCAAGAATGAATAAATGAATGAAAAAAAGCAAGACAGTCCTCACTTTAAAGGAGCTCACATTCTCACAGAGGAGACAATTCATTAAGGTTTCAGCTACAAGTCAGATGGAAAGATCCTATGGTCCTTAGAGTGCTGCAAAAAAGCTAATGATAATATTCTTTGTCATATTTAATATCATTTTTAATTTGCTGTCACTTGCATAACAAATAAGGTTTTCAATAAAGCCACAGTGGTATAAAGAGCCTTGGACCAGGAAACAGAATACCTGCATTCTATTTTCCTGCTCTGCCCTCAGTTTCCCATCTATGAAATGCAAATGGATATAGCAATCACATCTATTCCTGATGTTGAGCCATCTGACAGCGCAAAGGACTTTGGTGATGAGAACTTTGTTTTTCTGGATCATCAGTAACTTTCAGCTACTGAAATCAGAAGCTCCAGGACCTATCAAAGCAAATCCTAGGCTGAACCTCTACAGGGCCTACTTCCACAGAAAACAGCTGTGGAAGTTGGGCTGAAGTAGGACTGAGGGTCTGAGAAGGTGCAGCCACTCCTGGGGCTATTTGGTTTACCTCCCTACTTAATGGTGACAGTTGGTCGGTCAGCAGTGACAGAAGTGGCAACAAAAGTGGACCCCTTCTCCACAGTGACTGATTCCCTCAATAATGGTTGTGAAGCCCAAGCTAGAAACAAACTAGTTGTTTTTGTTTATCCTTCATTTTGAAAGACCAATAACATCATGGCTAATGTCTTAACTTCCCCATGAATTGTATTTAAGTGAGGCAGTTGTACAAAGGCATCAGCCTCACTCTTTCTTCCCCAGTCACTGAAGTCCAGGGCAGGACAAAAGTCAAGACAACTGGCAATGGCCTGGAATGCAGAGGATGATGTCTTCAGTGTCTGACCAAGCTCTAAGCGCTTCATAGCATTTACTTCAGCCACCACAGGACACATGCATATATGTGCGTAAGTTTGTATATGTACACATATCTCAACAGAAGTCTCTTCTTACATATACGGATGTGTATATATGTATATGTCTCTTCCCTCTACATATGCACATGTAATACACACATGCTAGGACTAAGGAGGTTTTCATTTAAACCACAGAAACTAAGGGGTCTACAGCAGAGAATGGAAGATACAGGAAAGAGGGCTGAAAAGTTGCTTTCCCAGGGCTGTTAGAAACAGCAGTTAGAAACAGTCAACTGGTTGACCTCTTCAATGAGCTATTCTTGATTAGCTGGATGGGGAATTTACTTTGTTAGCTAAGAGCACAGTACCTGAGGAGGTCCATTTCTATCTCAGGGTTAAATCCCACACTGGTGTCCATCTGAGCATCCACACCACTTAGTAGCAAAGTCAGCCCCTAATAGCACTGCCATAGTCAGTTATCGAGCACCTTATGTGAAACACAACCACACTTTGTTTATGAGCAAAATATACTTTTATAAAGATACTTTAAAAGATCTGTTATTTCATTGATGTTTATATTATCTCAAAATGCAGCGTCCCAAATCACATTATCTGATGACTAACTTTTCAGCAATTAATCCCTCTTACACTTATGAAGACTGATTTTTGGAAAACAGATACAAAGGGTCTCACCAGGATAATAGTTAAAAACTTTTCATATTAGTAAGACCTGCCAGAGCTTGTGTCTCACTGACAGAGCCTTAAAAGAACCCTGGATAATCACAACGCCAATGATTCTATGTTCTGATCATTTACTTACCACACTTAATAAAATATCTCCAGAGTTATAAGATTCCTAAGTTATAAATGCAGTATTTGTTTCAACCAACTTGTTCAGCAAATTTAACATAAAGTGGGAAGTATAATTAAGTCTCAGTGGAAGAAACAGAATGACACCAAAAAATTACTTATGAGTACTTTTTTGAATAGGTAAAAATAAGACAAGGTGAATAAACTTCATATTAGCTAAATGCAAAAATTAGTATTAACCTCAAAAGATGAAATGTCATTATATATAGTGACTATACACTACATACTTTCATTTATTGAATTTTTGAGGTCTAAAGCACCTTTTAATTCACTCACAAAGAGGTATTTTATATTGATCTTTTCACTTGACACAGGCAATCTTTTTGACCACATTCATCTTTTTTGAACTAGTATAAGTCTCGATTTCTTAAGGCCACTTGTACAATGACTTGTTCTTTTAAATAATAATAAATCTTTCCAATGATTTAAGAGACCTCTCTTCCTATGAGTTAGGTCATTTATCTACTTGATTAAATTTATTAATATGACTCACTGAATACCATAAATAAAAGCACCTTCTAGTCCTAATGAGCTTACTGAAGTTGGTATTTAAATAGTATCCTGATATTCTGAATTCGTACCAGTTTAGAAAATACATTTATAGCACTAGTGATTACATGTTACTAGATGAACCATGCTTACTTACACAGCATTATATGATCATCCCAGATGATAAACAGAAATATCTTTGCTTTATCACAATCTTTACAGGAATATTTTATTGTGATATTCATTTTTCATATACTTTAATATCTCATAAATCACTGAAAGAAACAACACAAAAATAACCATACTTTATATTTTTCCCACATGAAAGGCACTAGACATGCTGCTGCAATCATGGTACAAGTTTTATTTTAACTTACAATACCAACAACAACAAAAAAACTAATAAGAAACAAAATAATTTCCTGCCAGGCTGATGGTCAGTAGTTTGTTCCAAACCAACTGTTTACTTTTTCTATTCTTAGGTAAAGAGCCAGGCTAACAACATAGTATTCTTCTGTCTCTTCCATCCAGACCAGCTCCAAATTCACTTTTCCTACTGAGTCTATGTAGGTAACATAAAAGTGATGTCCTCTGTAATTAAAAAAGTCAGAAGGTCTCGTAGCAGGTCTCATGCAAACTGGGGAACTGAAACACCAAAATGGTTTCTCTGTTTCATCCAAAAGGGTTACATCCATCATATAACAGTTCTACAAAATAAAGACAAAGAAAACTGTAACATACATTTAGTACTTAATCACATAGTATTTGCCCCAGACTTCTGAAAGTTACTGAGAAAATTCTGCATTAGAAGTCTCCAAGTCAAAATCTAGAGCAGTCATTTTAAAGATATCCCAAATTTTCAAAAATATTTTGCTTTCAACTTTACTATACTGGAGGTTTGTATTTAGTAAGAATGAGAGACATCTATGGGAGACAAGCAATTTGGTTTCTAATGGTTCTGCCATTGAGTATCTCTAGACATGTCACTTTCCCTCTCAAGAACTCAAATTTCCTCTTCTATAAAATAAAGGGGTTGAATTAGATTCTTTTTAAGGTCCCTTTAATCCCTAAAATTCTGATCCTTTTTGTATTCTAGCTCTAAGAGTATTTGACCCAATGACTCAATATAACATCAGATTTAATGAACATTAACTATTATACTGGGAGGATTGAGAGTCTTGTAGAAAACACCTCTACAGATATGGAATCTGGCTCCACTCATCATGAATGTACAGGAGAGATAATTCTTTCAGGCATGCTTTGGAAGGTATGTACTGTTGCATCTAACAAATCAAGAATTCATCTTATTTTTATTAGATCTTTGAGAAAGTAGGGAGATCTCAGAGAAAGTAGAGAAGCATACGCTCTGGTCATTTCAAGGCATTTTCTTCCTTCCCCACCCCCAAATATCTCCTTAAACTGAATAGGGACAGCATAATAAACCCATTTAATACTATATTAATATCTTCGGCCATGCTCCAGCACTAAATTTTATTTTTTCAACCTAATTTTAAGTAGTTCTTACTCTCCCTATTCTGCCCCCATTCCTCTCAACCTCATGTACAAACAACTGAGCCACAGAAGCGGAAAATACAAATTCTGCATACTAATTTCCAGTGGATAGGGAACCATGTTGGTAGCATCCTTTTGTTTTATCTTTGTTATATCTTTTGTTTTGAGGGATAAGTGCCCAACTTTAAAGGCAAATCAGTATAATCAATACTAATACCTCTAAAATCTCATTCATTCTACAAATATTTGAGTGCCAGTTACGTGCAAGGCACCACAGGAGAGAGAAGTTTTAACAGTACCAAATAAGGTCTAGATTTTTTAAACTCTGGCCCAAAATCAATCTCCCTTAGCTATAAGACTTTAACATTAATGCAGCTAAGTAGCAGTCAAAACTAAATGTGCAAACAGTATTAAAATCAATTATCTGCACAAATAGTCCCACTTACCATGCAATATGTCAGATTCAAAGGTCTATCTTTGGACAAGCTATGGCACTTACATGTGGAAAGTCGAATTCTCAAAGCAGAAATTCCATTTTTACAGATATCATTTACTGTCTATACACATTCAATGTAGCATCACCCTCACTAATTAGCTAGAGTACCAGTCCTTAACTTAAATATAGCTGTATAAAAGGGCTTTAAGCAAGGCAAATCTTATATTATCCTCCAAACCACATATTTTTAGATTTTAACTGAAAATAAACTGTTAATTTAACTATATATATTTTAATAACCAAAGCTAATGCCAAGTCCCACACATCTATTTAGAAACATTAATATTCCCTCTGTGTATGGAACATGTTTCCCCATATAAAATAGAAACAAAAAAGGTGTAAATACAGGAGAGGATTTGCCAAATTTGACAGTACTGAAGGGACCAATGAATATGGAACAACAGAATAGATAAAGTATCACATTCTAAATTGGATTGAAGGCTATGGTTGAATTACCTTTTACAGTAACTACCTGGCCCTTCATTTTCTGAAATAATATAACAATGTGACCAATACTTAGTAGGTACTTAGTAAATGTTTGCTGAATTGACAAATATAGCAACTGCTTTTTATAAACAAACAATATATTGTCATTGTTACTCGAATCAACAGAAGCAGTTCTTTTTTTTTTTTTAATTTTTAAGGAAATTGGGGTTAAGTGACTTGCCCAGGGTCACTCAGCTAGTTAAGAGTCAAGTGTTCGGTCTGAAGCTGGATCTGAACTCAGGTCCTCCTGACTTGAGGGCCAGGGCTCTATCCACTATGCCATCTAGCTGCCCCTAACAGAAGCATTTCTAAAGTATGCTTAGAAATGACCTCATCCTTCATATTGATCTATACAGATCAAGTCCTACTAATAGCCCATCAGATATAATCTGCCACGTAAAATGTTAATCTCAGGAAATCTCAGGATAAAAAATTTTCAGTTTTAATCCTAGCACAGTAAAAAGGACATTGGGTTGCAGTCAGGGACAGGTATAGATTCCAGCTCTGTCGCATACTGACGTAGTTTTAAAATATGCTATTATATATGTTTCGTTGTATTTTTATTTTGTTAAGTATTTCTCAATCACATTTTAACCTAGTTCAGATGGCATCCAGGAGCACTGTGGGCTGCATGCAGCTGTGGGCCATAATTTTGACACCTCTGCTCCCAAGGACAGAGCTAAGAAAATGAGTGAATGTTGTGAAGAAGCAGTTTTAGGATGAATGTATTGAAAATGTCCTAATAATCAGAGCTATCCAAAAGTGAAATAAATCGCCTTTGGAAATGCCAAGCTCTCACTCACTGGAGATCTTAAAAGTGGAGGTTACATTACCACTTCCTGGAGATATTGTAGAGGGGTTCTTGGTCAAGTATAGTTTGGACTCAATGGCCAGGGAGTAGGAGAATCTTTCCGTATCCATAATAAAGACAGAGAGGGAAGTAGGAGAAGCCCAGGAAAATAAGCCTCCCTGACAGCTAATAAAGTCTCCACTTTTTTCTTTTGCCTTTTCCTTCTCTTTCACTCCAAGTCTCTGCCAAACAAAGCCTTTTTTCACTGTACTGGACTGAGTAAAGAAATCATCAATGGGTCCAAATTCCCAAAATGTATTTGTAACCTAAAAAAGAAGCCTATTAACTCAAACAGACTAATAGTATTTTAAAGCAGTTTCCCCTGTGGAAGAGAAAGTTCTGATCTGAGGGTCTCTGGTGGTCTTCTGCTTTCTTTTCCAGGCTGCTACCCTTCCCAGACTAGGAAAGCAGGAAATAAAAAACATAACACAGAATCACTATTGCTTAGCAGCCTAAAGCTACACACTACACAAAATCTCATCCTTATCTTTCAAACACCTTTGTACACCTCAGAATTCGGTTACCAAGTTAAAGATTGGGGTTGAAAATATGGGCAGGCACAAGGAATAGTAAATGGAAACTCGCAAACTACAATGGGGAGAGCAGTTTAATTTTAAAACCTTCCTAGCCCTCTCAAAAGATGAGGGGCTTCAGTAAAAAGAGCATTGGATTTGGAGTCAGAAGACTTGAGTTCAAATCCCAGCCTGCCAGCTGAGGGTACACCTGTGTAACCCTTAAGTAAATTTCTTCATGTCTCTGGGCCTTAGTTTTCTCATAAGTAAATGATGACCTCTGAGGTCCTTCTGGTTCTAAATGTATTATTATCCATAGGATTTTGTAATACTTGGGGAGAACGGAAAAGCAGAGACTTGGCAAAGATGACCATTTTTGTTAAACAATGACCCAATTACCTTGAAGAGACTGGAGAAGATTAAAAAACAATTAATTACCTGTATACAACCAGCAAAAACATCTGTTTTCCAACAGAGGCCAACTTTTCCAATGAGAGGTAAATGCTGTGCATTGTTTTTAAAACTTATAACGATGAGCTTCATATATCCATTTTTAATGAAATCTGAAAAGATTTTTAAAATAATTACTGAATATTAAAGTGGAGGTTACATTACCACTTACTGGGGATATTGTAGAGGGCTTGAAGAATTAGTCATTACTTAGCTTTAAAATTCTATTTGCCTAGTTCTTTTCTCTTATATGTTATTTTCGTACCAGAAGTATCTTATGTGGTTATGTCTAAAATAGCTAAGCTAGGAACAACATTAATACAGCTAAGGCAAAATGGGGAAAAAGTTGACAGAAGCCTTGTCTGGGTCAACTGAGGGCAGGGATGTGATAGTAAATGTTTAACAAGCAGCTCTCCAAGAAAAAAAAAATTGGCACATGAAATTTAATATGTATTATTAACATTTTCTCCACAACTTTCTTAAATCCAGACAATCAACAAAACAATAAATCAAGCCCTCTGTAGCAATTGCCATTTTCCAAAATGTAAATAAATGCTTAATAATTAACTCCCTCAAACTATTATGAGCTGGTATACCCTTATCTGTGGGATCCTTAGAGTAAGAGTTCAGAGACCTGGAAAAGTGGTTTCTAGGAGAGTCAAGGGGATACCACTAATCTCATTCATCACTAGTCAGCAACTATGGGACTCCTAAGAGAACAATACAATCTTCTGATTTGACAAAAAATGGAAAAATATGGAAACAGCTCCAAACCTACAAAAACAAAGGAAGAAATAACAACAGACAAAGTCACCTGGGGACTGAAGTATCTGCTAAGAAAGTTCAGAGGAAAGAGATCCCAGAGATTTTGGAGACAAGAAACCAAAGAAGGGTTTTGTAAAGGAGCAATAAGAGAAACGGCCACTAGGTAATAAAATACAGCATCATTAGAACTAGGTGATCAAAAAAGGAAAAAAGGTCCACAGCACACAAGTAAGCTATGACGCTATAACCAAAAGCTAGAAGTGATCCTGTAAAATTCAACATAGGTTATAGCCTTATACTAGATCAGTACATCAGACATTTCAAAGAAAAGAAGTATGGATAAGCTATAAGAATTTCCAATACTACTTCCTATTTTTGGTCCCCAGAAATGATCTTTCCCTCATCTGTACTCACATAACAATTAAGCTCTCTTTTGTGGCACTCACCACATACTAATTTATATTTGTGTGTATGTAAGTTCTGATCTGTGACTTCAATGATGGGATACTACCTCCAGCAGCGAGGGAGAGAGGGAGGAAAGGAAGGAAGAAGGGACTTATTAAGCACTTACTATGTGCCAAGCATTGTGCTAATCATTTTACAAATACATAATCCTCACAACAATCTGAGAAATCAGTGCTATTGTCTCTATTTTACATGTGAGGAAACTGAGGCAGACAGAGGTTAAGTGATTTGGCTAGTCTGACAAAGCTAGTCTGAGGCTATATGTGAACTACAGTCTTCCTGACACCAACCCTACTGCTCTATCCACCGCACCACTTAGCTGCCTCAAGGTGAAGGGCACAATCCATAACCAGCCTTCTTAGTGTAATTGTTAACATCTTGCCTGTAAGTCTTCCAAAAATGATATACTCAAGGATCTGAAAAGCTGCCTTTAGATCCGGTCTTCTTAATTTGGGGGTCTGTGAATTTATGTTTAAAAAAAAAACTATTTTGATAATCATATTTTGATATATTTGATTTCTTTTGTAGTACATAAATTTTACTTTATGGGCTTAAAAAAATTCAGAGAAGGGGTCCACAGGCTTCAACAGAATCCCAAAAGGGGCCATGACAAAAAAAAAAGGTTGAGAGTCCCTGACCTAGACCAATTCATCTAAAGACTAGGTGTTTTAACATTTTGTCAGTACCAGTATAGCAGTCTAGCTTTTTATCTCATCCTTTTCTCTCATTACATAACCGGTCAATCTTCTTTATTTTGATTGGTTTGGTTATTTTGGTATAATTTCTTGATAATTTTTTAATGTGGTGCTCTTTATTCAAGTCACTGTTTGGAATTAAAACTGCACTTACTTGTACCCATGATGCAGCTCGCCGCTGGCCTTTGTGTAACCTGAAATTCTGATACTTTGGAGATTGTAGTGTTCATGTTCTGTGATTTACAATCACATGATATCATCATGAGGACAGTTATGTTAAAATGATGGGTTTGTTTGTTGGAGACAGCTTTATATTATTGAAAGTGCTACATAATTTCCTAAATTCAATCCATCCCCATTTCTCTGTTCAATTCTGGGTCTGGTTTATTATCCATCTGCAATGCTTGCCCAAGATGCACATAAATAATATACTCAATAATATACTCACCCAAATGCATCACATAATCTGAGTAAAAGAGATTCTTCTACTTCACGTTTCACTTATGATAGGCACCTTTCTTTTAGGGTTTTGTTTGCTGTGACTCTCACTGACAAGGCCCCACTGTCTTGGGACTTCATATAATCAGCACAATGTTATCTATGAGCAGGAACATCTAGAATATTTCATAGCCAATAAGTAACCTCTCTTCTATTTGGATTCTGTGAAGGACATTCTCCATGACAGCAGTAAACACTTTCGGCAAGCACACATCTCCATTATATTCCTTGTGGGATACTGATAATCAGAAGGTCACTGAAAAAAAAGTCCTCTCCGTGGCTGCATCAAAGGATCTTACATCTTTACATATTCATAAAAGATCTTATTAGAATAATAACCTTTGAGTAATTTTTTTCTACCAAGTCATATGCTATTTTGTAATCAATCAACACAATCTACATTCTCAACAGATTTATATTCTCTATGGTTTATTTTGTGGCTATAAAGATGTGGTCTGTTATGGAATATCATCTGGGAACCCTACCTGTTTCCTTCTCCTATTTTCCATCAAGAATACTACGAAATCAAAGCTCTCATACAAAAGAGAAATATGGGTCAATAGATTTCGATGTCCTCTTTTTTGGTAAAATTATCCTCGATCTTCTAAAAACAAATGTTCAATATCTTCCTCTCCACCACCTACACTGTCATGATTAGTGATTGCAATTGATCAAAATTCTTAATTCTTTCAATGGTGTTTTCCCTTAAATTATTGTGGTCATGAAAATTGTCCACCTCAGTAAAACATCTTAGCAAACAGGCTAAACCAGGTTGAGGGTGACCAACAGACCTCAAAGCTGTTAGTGAGTTAAAGGGGTGTCTACCCTAAGCTTGTGAAGACTTCCTCCAAAGAATGGGTGAATGAGAACAATTTCTTCAGTCATGAAGGCAGCTGAAGCAGGCACTGTGGAGCACTTAGACCTTGGTCAAACACTAAAAACACCAAGGTCATCCACTGCATCCTGGGCCATCATCAGTCATCTTGACTTTTGCCCTGCCATTGGACTTCAATGACTATGGAAGAGAGAGTGAGGTTGATGACTTTGTACGACTGTGTCTCACTGAAACCCAATTCACTCATGAGTCAAGACATCACTTCATGATGTCACTGGTTCTCTTCAAAAATGAAAGACAAACAACAACATAAATACTTCTGGAATGATTTGATCAATGTCAATTCCATTAGAATTTCAGTCTCTTGAAGTTAAGGACTGTTTTTCCTTTTTTTCTTTCTATCCCCAGTGCTTGCTATAGTGTTTAAAGCAGGCCTGCACAACCTGTGGCCTAAGAGATGCTTACGGCCCATGGGCACACTAAAGAATTTTAGGTGGTCCGTAAAAAATGTAGAAGATATTTTCCTCTACATTTTTCTCGAACTGCCCAAAATCCTTTGGCATGCTGCAAATGGCCTATGGGCGGCAGGTTATGTAGGTCTGGTTTAGAGCCTAACTGTGGATAGATGAATTTAATGCCAGTTGTTCTGCATGCTCATTTTTCCCTCCACAGCTTTTCACCCTTTCATGAAGTAATACTGCTTGTGATCTTCTGCCATAATCCTCCCAACAATCTGCAAATGAATCTATATTCTAATTGCTGATGCCCTTGACTGAATCAGATCTCTGCTCGGCAAGGAGATCAAGGACTTGCTGGATAAGTGGCTTTCCGGGTGTGTTTGGGACTTCTAGCTATGGCAACTGCTTTACTTGGGTTAAATTTTTCTAATATTTGGTGACACAGTCAATATCTATCTTTATCAATTGCCAATTTTTAGAGTGAACAGTTTACTTAGATAGGTCACTTAAGAGCTGTTAGAAGTACATCCAATGCTTTATTGCTTCTAAAAGACATAAACTCCTTGTCAGCATGGTCCTCTTCATCTGTACATACCTCACGATTAGATTGTGAGCTCCTAAAAGCAGGGATTGTCTTTTGCCTCTCTTTGTATCCCCAGTGCTTAACACAGTGCCTCACACATAGTAGGTACTATATAAGTGCTTATTATCTGACAGTGCCTACCACCTTGTGTTGCACATAATCACAGTTCAACAAATATAAGTTATATATTAATAAATGATAAGTAGAAGCTGAGTCATAGGTGTGAGTAGCACATTTCATTAGAATATGCACCCAGGCAATTTTTAAAAAGTGAACATTCAATCATAAAAATCATTTTTATTCAAAAGAAACTAAAATGTTTTAAAATGATGTTAACTAAACTTTTACTAAAAATATTCAAACTGCATAAAGCATCTATTAATTAAACCTTTGTCCTTTCCCTAAAATACAGTACAATGTTTTCAGCTTTACTTTCTGAATAAAAAAGTATATTTACAACTGTATCCTCATCCCCTAGCCTCATAATTTGCAGTTAAGTTTAAGGATTGGTAACCATAGGCATATCCTTTTAAATTTTTGCTTTCCTAAGTCTGTACTAACCAGAACCCTAGGGCTAAGCCACAGAAAACACAGTGGCTACGTGAGTAAAAGGGGAGAAATTTTATTTTTTTCCTTGACCTGGCTGTAGTTGGCTACACTCTCTGAGCAGCAGTAGGGTATTCCTGGAAGAAATAAGGAGGAGGACAGACAGCCTATCTAACTCTTAACAAGAACTAGGTTCCAATAAGCTTAAGTGCCATAACAGCAGGTAAGGCAGCACTTTGGAGATAATCTAAAATGGGTCTTTGAGGAA